ATATATATATATACACACACACACACACATATATGGCGTCCTGGTTGTGTGTTAATGCGCCACACTGCAAAACCATTTGAACTGCAAGGTTAGTGGTTCAAGCTCAACAGCTGTTCCTCAGAAACCCTATATAGGGTCGCTATGGGTTGGAACCAACTCGACAGCACTTAACAACAACAACATATATGTATGTATATGTATATATGTATTCTCACCGTGGACTCCTGGTGTGGTACTGTAGGATAAGCACTGGACTGCAAGGTCAATTTGAATTGCAAGATTAGCAGTTCAAACCCACTAGTTGCTCCTTGGAAACCCTATATGGGGTTGCTATGAGTTAGGACCGACTTGATGGTACTTAACAACAACATTTTCACCTTATATACAGAGTTTCTGATAAGGATTATTCAGGAATATTGAAAAATACAATAAATGGAAGGATAGAACATTAAAAACCACTACTTGACATTTTGGTTGTCAAAACTTTCAAGGTTTATAATATTTATTGATATTTTAAGACATTTTAAGAACTATCGTGTACTTTCAGATTATTTGTCTCTGTTGGGGTGAGATTGGGTTGCTCTAGTGTGAGCACAAAGTAGGTGCTCAATAAATGCTTACTGAGTGAATTAATTACTACAAGGAATCTATGACTCTAAAGTCTATATTCCCCTTTTACCATAGGTAAAATCTCTATGTAGTGTTAATTTATGTAACAAAACAAAGTTCAGCATAAGAAATGATTTAAAATAATACAATAAGAATGGGAAACTTGAAGATTAAAAAAAAAAAACAACTAAGATATTCCAATGAATTTCTAAATATACCACGCTTTGCCAGGAAAGTGAAAAACGAACATTTGTCAATGCACTTCAGATGAAAGTAAATTCTCAATACAAGCTTAAGTTTAAATTAACATGAAGAAAACATAATTACTGGGGAAAATAACCACATATGTTAAAAGATATGGTAACTCATTTTGAACCTACTCTCAACATTATCTGTGCAAAATTGCTTGTAGTGTCCTCAAAGGGGCCTCTGGCCAGATGCTTAAAAAACATTGCCTTCAATGGCATTCATCGAAGCTACGTGGCCTGCCGTTTCCTTTAACCAGGTGGAGTGAGGCGTGGTCACGGCTCTGCTTTGGAACAACTGGTCTGGATATGAGAAACCTGCAGAATCGGCAGCAGCAGCTGGAAGGCGTCCTGTATGTACGTTGTGCTGTTACAGCCCTGGTGAGGGGAAAAAATGTGGTTGATGGGTACAATCTTGATAGCTCTTCAATTAAAATAATGTTCTTTTTTCTCGAGCCTCACAACATTCGATTAAATGTTCCAGTCATGTTGGTGCTCAAAGCAAACGTAAGCACATTCCTTTGGATGGAGCTCATCCAGCTCTTAATAAATTCAACCAAAGAATTCACTCCAAATGAGGCAAGTCATCTTCATGGACGTTTAGGGTACACTGATATATTTATATATGTGACCCGATATGCTCAGACCCAGTCATTAACCCACTTCCTTGGAAACTACACAAAAGCAAAGTGTAATAGAGGTTCTAGTTTGTTCTAACCTACAGATGAATTTTTTTTTTTTTTTTAACTACATAAAGCTAATAGGGGCAGTAGTGATTTAGTAGTAAAATTCTTACCAATGCATGCTATACACAGTTCCTACCCATCTGTCAGTGGAGGCTTGTGTGTTACTATGACACTGAACATGTTTCAGCAAAGCTTTCAGACTAAGGTGGAGTAGGAAGAAAGGCCGGGCAATGTAATTCTGAAAATCAGCCAATGAGAACCCTACAAATCACAATGGTCTAATCTGTAGCCCACCATGAGGATGGCACAGGACTGGGCAGTACTCAGGGTTGCTGTGAGTCGGAGGCTGCTAACAAAACAACATATAAAACTAACTGAAGAAATTATTATGAAATGATTCATGGAAAATCCTGGAACATACTGGTACCTTCTGTACTTGGTTTAGATATTTGCTATTACTATTCTTGTACTCTGGTGTGTTAGCAAGGCAGTTTTCGGTAACTAGAACATGTGGAAACTTCTGTTGGAGAAGTGAATACACATTCGACTTCATATTCTTCATGATGGACATGGTAAATTAATTTGCTAATGCCTTCTGGGTGGCCAGGGAAATTTTTTCTTATACCACAGTCTGCTTTTTGCTACCAGGGCTTCCTGCAGAGCCTGCCCGCACAGCTCCTTGTCGTTCCTAGCTTGACTCCATTTCACTATGTGGTTGTCTCCTGAATAGTAACACATGGTGCTACCATCTTGTTACTTTTGTACCTTGATTGTTTTCCTTAATAGGAAGACTTGACTCCTAAAGTCATGGCTATGAAATACAGGTTGAAACGACAACAACCTAAAAGCCAATGTATTTGCCATCAAGTCATTGCTTACTCAAGGCAACCCCACATGTGTCAGAGAATAACTGTCCTCTGTAGGATTTTCAATGGCTGATTTTTCAGAAGTAGACCAGCAGGCCCTTCTTCCAAGGTGCCTAACTTTTCTGCTGGTAATCCCAAGTATTATTTGCACCACTTAGGGGCTCCACAACCAAATTAGTTGCCATTGAGTCAATTTCAACTGGTTTCAGACAACAACTGTGTTCCAGTGGGTTTCCAATGGCTATAAGCTATCATGAGTGCTTAACCATTTATACCAGCCACTGCCTCCTATAGGTTGCCCTCCAGATGTGAAGCCTTATAATGTTTAGATTTGCAATTCACAGCTACTTTAACAAGTAAGTTCAGATCTGGCTTGTTACTACCCTGTGGCTTCAGCAAGTTGCCTTGAACTTACAGAGGTGTTACCTTCTTAAAGTTTGGTCCCTAATGGAAGGTTTTTCTCCACCTACCATCACAGCTCAAGAACAAGGACTCCTGGGTTCTTTTCTTCTGTTCTACATCATTGTTTCTGTGGAAGCCACATTGGGTAGGGGAGTTTCATACCCTTGCAACTGATACTATAAAGTCTCGGTGAGTGGGCAGGTCATGGAGTGAGTGGTTATACTTCCAAGCAGAGGCTAGATGGTCTACTGAGTGTTTTTTTCTAGTTTGATGCTTTGTTGTTGTTAGGTGTTATTGGGTTGATTTTTGACTCACAGCAATCCCAGGTGATAGAATTTAGAACTGGCCTGCAGGGTTTTCTAGGCTGCAATCTTTACAGAAGCAGATCCCCAGGTTTCACTCCTGTGGAGCCACATGGTGGGTTCAGACCGTCAACCTTTCCATTAGCAGCTGAGCGCTTAACCACTGCATCATCAGGGCTCTTTGGCTGGTGCTTAGACTCAACTAAACCAAATGGCGGGGAGTGGTCATTTTGACATTAAGTAAACCACCGAGCAATAACCCCTCGTCACAGCCAACACTCAAAGTGTTAAATCTGGTGTCAAACTTGGCAGCAGAAATCTGTTCCTGCCGGAGAAAACAGTGACAGAAATAGCATGCAAGCTTAGCGTTTCTCTCTTTATAATCAGGGTTTCTTGAAAATGAGGCCTTGTTGCTTCACCGGAGGGTTTACAGCTGGTTGAGCTGTACAAATGTACTCAAAAGAGACGGCTGATGATAAGATTTAGAACTGCAATAACATTTGCTGCCTGGGAGAAAGACAAGGAAATGTAGCACTAGCAATTGCTTGGATTTCAGAGCAGTTTGTCTCTGGGGGCCACTTACCTCTAACAACACACTACTGATCATGGGGTTAAGAACCTCGGCCTTCTTGTTGCTCTGTGGAATCAAAAGTGTGAAATTGATAGATAGGTGAGTGCTCATAAGACAAAGATTGCCACATAAAATGTAATACACATGCTTTTCCGAGGAATAGTGTCCAGAGGAAGGAGAGAGTGGGATGCTTACTGTTTTGGGTGCTTCAGGTATGTGCGCTCATCTAATTTGAACAGAAATCTGAGGATTTCTGTAGGAAGCCAGTACCATTATAGCCCCTGATTTAAATTGATAAAATAGGGACCAGGAAGGCTGAGTAACTGGCATAAGATCACACAGCTAAAAATGTAAGCTCAGGTCTTCTGAATTATTAAAGTTGCATGCAGCAAGTCCAAAATTTGGTTAAGGTGGGTGAGACCGAGTTATGAAAGTGGAGGATTAGATCCTATTTGTATTTAAAATACTGCTATTTGGTCATCATGGATTTTTTGTTTTTGAGTTTTCGAAACATTGCATTAAAATATTGTCTATTTTGATTGCTGAGGTGTTGTGTCTGTGTGTTCCTTTATGTTTTGCACTTGAGGCAAGTCCGTTGTTAACTTACCTCTCCCAAGTCCTGGTATGGAATTTTCTGCTTCTTTTAAATGCAAATATGGGTTATTTGGTTATAAGCTGTCTTTCAGATAAGCAGCAAAATTAAACACTCTATAGATCTCGGTTTTAAATTTTCATGAATAGATGTGAGTACACAGTACAAAACCAGGCACAGAATTACTGCTGTTAAGTGCCATGAAGTCTGTTCCGACTCATAGCAATCTCACATAGGGTTTCCAAGGAGTGGCTGGTAGGTTTGCACTACCGACCTTTAGATTAGCAGCCCAGTGCTTATCCTATAGTGCCATCCCAGGACTCCATTGGTATGGAATAGAAGTTCAAAAAGTGCGAATCAGTACCGTCACTATTATAGTGGAAACTGTGAGGGCCAGAACGCAAAACAACTGCCGTATTTTTCTGGGTCTTGCTAGTTTCCCACCTTTGACAGGGTGCAGTCTGATCAGTTTTATGTTGTTGGTTTTAGTAGAAAACAGTTGAGCTTTTCTTCTGATAAGTTTCTGCCTTACACACTTTCTGGCTTTCGCAGGTTTTATTTTTGCTATTGGTCTATCAATCAACAGTCTTCTCCATCTAAAACTTTCAATCTACATTTTGACTACCAATCATGAAAAAGACTGGAAAGAGGGAGAAGAATCTCAAAGGGCTGGTTACCCTTCCTATGCCTGGAGAAATTTATGGTGAATAAAAGTAAATAAATGAACTTCATTTGCACAGAGAGCAGCCTGTTCTCATGGACACTGCTTGGCTGAGGGTGAAGAAAAATCTGTCTGGGGCAGTGACAATATGCAATTTTGGGGAAAACAAAACAAAACAAAACAAAAAAACAGTTCTTTGAAAACCCAGTCATTTTAGTAAGTAACCAGAAAATCCATTATGGTCTTTGCTTTTATGTTTATTTGATTATCAATAAACCTCTAAAATATAATCAGAATGAGGGCCATAAAGTGACATTGGTTTTCGGAATCAATGAGATGTGCAAGCAATTGAAAAGGAGCCCTGAGAGCAATATATACTCATTAGCTTCAAGTTATGAATAATGGCTGCTGCATTAGAGAACACACTTGACATAAAAGATTCATCACAGCACAAGATCGGGGACACAGCGGTGAGATGACATTTCTTAATAAACTCTGTTCTACACTGAGATTTTTCTTTCTCTAAAATGACAGCTTGTATGGTCCCGACTTTGAGCACTCTAGCATCTGTCCACATGTGTTATAGGCAGGAAAACCCCCCACATCCACTGCCACTGAGTCGATTCTGACCCATAGTAACTCTTTAAGATAGAGTAGAAGTGCCTCCATAGGACTTCCAACACTGCCACCTTTACACGCTATCAGTCAGAACTGACTCGATGGCACTTAACAACAACAACATCTTTACAGAAGGAGAACTACCTCTTTGTCCTGAGGAGCAGTTGATGGTTGAACCATTGGCCTCTCTAGTACTCTCTATACCACTAGGGCACCTTTGTGTGTTTATGTTATTGTTCTTAAGTGCTGCTGAGTTGGTTCCGACTCATAGTGACCCTGTACAGGGTTTCTGAGGAGCGGTTGGTGAGCTTGAACCACTGACCTTGTAGTTCAAACAGACCCTACAGTCCAGTGCATTAACCTGCAGTGCCACACTAGCACTCTTGTGTGTGTGTGTGTGTGTGTGTGTGTGTACGTATGCATAAATTCAAGGACACGCCACCTGCTGAAAGTGTGGATCAGGATCACTGTCAGAATCTCGGTTCCCATCCCAGCCTCATTGAAACCATGTGTGCATTTTAACAAGTTCACCGGATGAAGATGGCAAGGCAGTCACAAAGCTGGCACAAGACCTGGCAGTGTTTCGTTTTGTTACAATCCAGTCTCTATGACTTGGAGCTGACCTGATCAGGAGACCTGTTTGCACATTGAGGCTTGAAGAGCACTAGCGGAATATAATAAGTTAAAAGGAATGGAAAGTATTACTGTTCTGGACTGAATAGTGTCCCCTGCAAATCTGCGTTAATATCATAACCTGTATACATTTGGATGTCATCTTATTTCCGAATAAGATTCGTTAATGAGGTCATTCAGTATAGTTTAAACCTAGTTGCTTTGGAGTTCTAAGAAGCAGCAAAGCACAAATGGGAGAAGAGAGATGCCATGTGAAGACCAGGGAACTGAAGACCAGGGCCTACAGAAGCGAAAAGGAGACGAGGACCCTCCACCCCACCCCCACTCCACCCCATCCTACTCCCAGAGAGCCTTCCCCCACAGGGCTGGTGCCTTGAATGCAGGTGGCGAGCTTCTGAATTGTAAGGAAATTAAGTTCTAGTCTTTAAAGGTACCCACTTATAGCAGTTCAGTGACAGCTTGTTGCTGTTAAGTGCCTTCAAGTTGGTTCTCATAGAGACACTATATATGGTTTCCGAGAAGAGGCTGGTGAGTTTGAACTGCTGACCTTGTGGTTCAAACCGACCTTGTGGTCCAGTGCTTTCTCCCACAGCGCTACTCCTGGACTTCATTTAGCTATTTCAGCAGTTGGAAATTATGACAATTACACACTAATGTAGATAAATTAAGGCTTAATGTGAATCACATGAACATGTAACACAGCACACGTGCTCATTACTGTTGTTAGTGCCGCCGAGTTGGTTTAGACTCACAATGACCCTGTGTAAGGTTTCCAAAAAATGGCTGGTGGACTTGAACTGCCAAGCTTGCAGTTAGCAGGCCAGTGCTTATCCTATAGTGCCTCACTACCACCCTCATTACTAGCTAACTATAAAGAACCAAATAGTTGGTGATTTATCTGATTTGTCTGACGGGTAGACCACTGCGTAAGGTCAGTGGAGGAGCCTGGGTAATTCAGCTAATAGCCTCTCTGGCCCTCAGTTTTCTCACTGAGTGAACTATGGAAAGTGAGGAGGCAGTCTAGGGGCGCCAAAGAGGCCATTGCATCCTGATTAAGACCTCATGCTTCTCTTAAAAGCTAACATTTACACTAAAGCCCATGGGTTTATCGAACCACTTTATCAACAAACTTCATCCCTGCATCCCTCTGCCTACATACAATGGAATCCTATTGCTGAAGGTCTAAAACTGGGTAAATATAAACGATGCTGCTTTATAAAATAGGAGAGGCAAACCACTTTCACTGACAGCAGAATGAATAGGTGGGGGTGGGGGTGAATCAATGCCATTCGGTCAATTCTGACTTATTGTTGTTAGGTGCCGTTAAAAATTAGTAACGATTCATAGCAACCCTATGTACAACAGAATGAAAAACTGCTTGGTACTGTGCCAACCTCACTGCTGCTGCCACTGTGCCAATCCATCTTGCTGGGGGTCTTCCTCTTTTTCTCTGACCCTCCACCTTACCAAACATGATATCCTTCTCCAGCAACTTGTCCCTCCTGACAATGTGTCCCAAGTACGTGAGACAAAGTTTGGGCATCCTGGTCTCCAAGGAGCACTCTGACTGTACTTCTTCCAACAAAGATTTGTTTGTTCTTTTGGCAGTCCCTGGTACTTGTAATATTCTCCTGCAGCACCATAACTCAAATGCATCAGTTCTTCTATGGTCTTCCTTATTCACTGTCCAACTTTCGCAGGCATATGAGGTTACTGAAAATACCAAGTTTGGGTCAGGAATACCTTAGTCCTCAAACTGACATTTTTGCTCTTGAACACTTAAAGAGGTCTTGTACCTAATGCAATATTATCATTTGATTTCTTGACTGATGATTGCATGAGTGTTGATAGTTAATCTGAGCAAAAAGAAGTCTTTGACAACTTCAATTTCTTCTCCATTTATGTGGATGTTGTTTATTGGGCCAGTAGTGAGGATTTTTGTTTTCTTCAAATTGAGGAGCAACCCGTATTGAAGGCTATAGTCTTTGATCTTCATAGGGTAAATATTTTAAGTCCTTTTCATTTTCAGCAAGCAAGGTGGTATCATCTGCATATTGCAGGTTTTTAATGAGTCTTCCTCCTATCCTGATGTCAGGTTTTTTTGTGTTTTTTTTTTTTTTTCCATATAATCCAGCTTCTCAAATTATTTGCTCAGCACACAGACTGAATAAGTATGGTGTAAGAATACAACCCTGGCACGTCTCTTTCCTGATTTTAAAACATTCAGTATCTCCTTGTTCTTTTCAAACAATTGCCTCTTGGTCTATGTACAGGTTCCCCCAGGAGCACAATTAAGTGTTCTGGAATATTAATTCTCCCCAGTGTTGTCCATAGCTTGTCATGATCCATATAATCGAAAGACTTTAAACAGTTAATAAGGCACATGTAAACATCTTTCTGGTATTCTCTGCCTTCAGCCAAGATCCATCTGATGTCAGCAATGATATCCTTCATTCCACATCCTCTTCTGAAACTGACTTGAACCTCTGGAAGCTCTCTGTCAATGTATGGTTGCAACTGTTTTTGTAATATCTTTAGCAAAATTTTACCTGCAAAATTTGGGATAATAATGATATTATTATCCCTGCAAAACTTGGGATAATAATGATATTATCCCAAGATTTACACATTCCGTTAGGTCACCTCTCTTTGCAATGAGCACAAATATGGATCTCTTCCAGTCAGTTGGCCAGAGAATTGTCTCCCAAATTTCTTGGCACAGATGAATGAATGCCTTCAGTTCCACATCAGTTTGTTGAAAGATTTCAAATTCTATTCTATCAATACCTGAAGTCTTGTTCTTTGCTAATGTCTTCATTGGCTCTTGATCATATGCTATCTCTTGAAATGGTTGAACATCGACTGTTTCTTTTTGTTATACTGACTCTGTGTATTCCTTCCATCTTCTTTTGATGTTTTCTGCATCATTCAATATTTTGCCCAGAGAATCTTTCAATATTACAAGTCGATGCTAGACTTTTTCTTCAGTTCCCTCAGCTTGAGAAATGCTGAGCGTGTTCTTTCCTTTTGGTTTTCTAACTCCAGGTCTTTGCACATTTCATTGTAATATTTGACTTTGTCTTTTCAAGCTGCTCTTTGAAATTCTCTATTCAGCTCTTTCACCTTCTCGTTTCTTCCATTTGCTTTAGCAACGTTTTGCTGGAGAGCAAGTTACTGAGTTTCTTCTGATATCCACTTTGGGCTTTTCCTTCTTTCTTGTTTTCTTAATAACCTTTTACTTTCTTCCTGTATGATGTTCTTGATGTCATCCGACAACTCTTCTGGTCATCGTTTAGTGTCTAATGAAACAAATCTGTTCTTCAGATGATCTCTAAATTCAGGTGGGATATGTTCAAGGTCATATTTTGGCTTTCGTGGACTTGTTTTAATTGTCTTCAACTTCAGCCTGAACTTGCATATGAGTAGTTGATGGTTTGTTCCACAATTTGCCCCTGGCCTTGTTTTGGCTGATGATACGGAGCTTTTCCACTGTCTCTTTCTACAGATGTAGTCAATTTGATTTCTGTGTATTACATAGAGTGAGGTCCATGTGTATAGTTGTGTTTTATGTTGTTTAAAAAAAGGTATTTGCAATGAAGAAATCATTGGTCTTGCAAAATGCTGTCATGCTACCTACCTCCAGCATCGTTTCTATCATCAAGGCCATATTTTAAACTACTGATCCTTCCTCTTTGTTTCCAATCTTTGTATTCTAGTCATCAGTAATTATTAATACATATTGATTGCAAGTTTGATCAATTTCAGACTGAAGAAGTTGGTAGAATTCTTCAATATCATTATCACTAGCTTTAAGTGGTTGGTGTGTAAATTTGAACAATAGTGGTATTAACTGGTCTTCCTTGCAGGCGTATAGATCTTATCCTGTCACAGACAGCGTTGTACTACAAGATAGATCTTGATAAGTTCTTTTTGATGATGAAGGTGATGCCATTCGTTTTCAATTTGTCATTCCCACCATGTCATCGTCAGATTCAAAATGGCCGATACCAGTCCATTTTAGCTCACTATGCCTAGGATATTGAAGTTTATGTTTTCCATTTAATTTTTGACAATTTCTAATTTTCCTAGATTCATACTTGTACATTACATGTTCTGATTATTAACTGGTGTTTACAGCTATTTCTCTTCATTTTGAGTTGTGTCCCATTTGCAAATGAAGGCTTTGCTCGATTTGTGTCATCACGGTCAAAGGTACTTTGAGGAGGGACTCTTCCTTCTCCCATCGAATTCTGAATGCCTTCTGAAGAGGGGCTCATCTTCTGGCAGTTAACTGACAATATTCTGGTGTTCTCCATCATCTGTGAATATTAGTATTCTGGTGCTATCTGACTGTGTTCCATTGCTATTTATAAGGTGTTCAGTAACTAAGTATTCAGAAGTAGTCCATCTTTCCTTCCTCCAAGTCTATCTTAGTCTATAATCTCAGCTGAAATCTGTCCACCATTGGTGAACCTGCTGCTATTTCAAATACTGGTGGCATAGCTTCTAGAATCAGCAACACACAAGCCACCAAAGTATGACATACTGACAGATGAGTGGTGAATTCTGACTCATAGACACCCTTTATAGAGTTTCTGAGGAACGGATGGTGGGTTTGCAATGGCAACCTTGTAGTTAGCAGTTCATTCTTATCCTGCAGTGCCACATTGTTGTTGTTAAGAGTTGCTGAGTCAGTTCTGACTCACAGTGACCCTGCATTGGGTTTCCAAGGAGCGTGCCAACCTTGTGGTTAGCAGTCCAGTGCTTGTCCTACAGCTTCATACCAGGACCTCTACAACACCACACTAGGGTCTCTTTACTAACCTAGTGATTTCAAGACAGGTAGGAGACGGACATCTCTTGGATGTGGGAGCAAGTCTCATAATCATTTCCTACTTCTCTGAGAACTACCCTTGACCCCAGAGGCAGGTGCACTCTGGTAGTCAGGTCTACATGATGTGACCTTGTTTTCAGTCACAACCAAGGTAGACATCTGACCCATGCTGATGCAAACTTTCTTACCCAGGAACCCAGAATTTTCAGTGGAGACATGTAGGGTCTGGGGACTGATGAAGCAGAATCATGTTAGTAGCAGCACTTTAGAAAGAGGGTTCCTGAAATCTGGGGCGGGGTCCCCAGAATTGCCCATGTTGCTCCTTTCTGAGGCCTAGTGGGTTAACACGCTTTGTGATACTCCCTGCTTTCAGAAACCCCTTTTCTGTCTAAAGCATTCAAAGCTTGTTTCTGTGACATGCAACCAAAACAAAGCAAAAACCCAGCTTAACTAAAATCTGCTCTATTTAATGGAAAAAGATGTCAGAGTGTTTGTACCCAGGTAGAAAAGCTGGAAACAAATAATTCCACTTCTCTTCTCTGGTCCCACTAAGAAGGGGTTATATAATGTGACTGATTTCTAAAGAACAGAATCAGAAGCCACACTTCCAAATGAGTGCTGTGCCTTTCAAAGTTGCTACCTTGTGAAAAGAAACACTTATGCCAATTGGTAGAATGTTCTCTTTTGGTTAAAGTTGAGGTGTGACAACTAAGCAAAGGAAAGTGTTATCTTGTGTGGCTTAAAAAAATAAGTCTTGGGCACAACAGTGAATGAGACCATTCAAAATTAATCATTATACTAGAGATTCTTACATTATAACTCACAATATTAAAAAATCTATAGAAGGAACCTTCAAGTGACATGGTTTTGTGGGTTTTTTTTTTTCACAAATAAGAAAAATGAGGCCCAGAGAGGTTTGAAAACTCAACCTCTGGAATTTCTGAGAAACCGATCCTCAGCTAGAACCCAGTCTGAGGGAGCACTAAGCGGCCTGTACTCAGGGAAGGTACTCTTGGTACTGTTTTCAGGAAACTTTATGACAGAGTTTCTGTTTTATGAAGCTATGAAAGATGTTTCCTCCACTTTTCCTCATAGCTCCCTGAAAGACCTGTTGTTGTTGTTAAGTGCCATCGAGTCAGTTCTGATTCATAGTGACCCTGTACAGGGTTTCCTAGGAGTGCTGTTGAGTCTGAACTGCTAACTTTGAGATTAATAGTTCAATGCGTATCCTATAGAGCCATACCAAGACTCCAGACCCATATCCCTTAAATAAGTGAAAAAGAATCAATCTTACCCCAATAGTGGTTAAAGAATTCATAAACTTCTTTGATAAGGAAGCCACTTCACTGCACATTGCAGTAGTTAATCTGAAATCAGAAAAAATAGGTGTCTGTGGGTTTTCCATAAAGTGAAATCTATGAATTGACGTGACAATTACTGATATTAACGTAGCGTTGCAGTTACAAGAATAATACAAGAGTCTGAAGATCCGCATAGAAATGTGCAATCAGACACTTTTCAATACTCCTCTGTTATTCACAATCACAACTGAGCCGGCTCCTGATTTTCTTTGCAAGCTTAAGTAACAAATCATCACCTAACTCACTTGATTACTTTTTTGGGGGGAATCAAAACTGTATGCAGGATGAATATAAGCCTTGAGCTCTACTTGTATAAGTGCAGAAACTCTTTGGCTATGTGGCTTCTCCCTAACTCTGTCATGTCTCTAAAATAACAATGAACACTCATTGAGGCAGTAGGCTAAGTAAGTACACTGTAATTGCTTACCTCAGGTCTCTTCAGAAACAACTCCTGGAATATCTAGGTCTCTTTCTTCTTCTCAGTAAATGTGTTTCTTAAGAAAATCCTTACTTCTTCAGATGATCACAAAATGGTAGAATTGGTTGACTCAGACCTGAGTCTTTATTGTGGTTGTGTATGTATGTGAGTATATGTGTGTAGAGAGAGACGCATACATAGAGTCAAAGGACACATATGAGGAAGTTTTAGAAAGTTCATGGAAAATGGAATTAAAAGAGAATGGAATTTTTTCATCAACTTTTTGAAGCCCCCACACGTGAGTGTGTGTGTGTATATATATATATATCTGGTAGCATAGTGGTTACGAATCGGGCTGCTAACCTCAAGGTCAGCAGTTTGAAATTACCAGCTGTTCTGTGGGATTTGAAAGATGAGGCTTTCTGCTCTCATAAAGATTTGCAGCCTTGGAAACCCTGGGCAGGGTCACTATAAATTGGAACCAACTCCATGGTACTTAACAACAACAACATACATATATATATGTAAATAAAATGGAAAAAGTAAAGATTGAAAGTTAACATTTACTTTATCAGAACTTTTGCTTGGTCCTGAGCAGGTTTTTCCTCTTCTTGTCCATGAAGAATTAATTCTGCTACTTTATGAAGCTGCTCGATACAGCGCGCGGTTACTTCTGCCAGACTTTCAATGCACAGCATGTATACATCCTAAAATGCATGAATACAAGTGGCAAAATGATCCGCCAAGCAGATGTGTTTTTAAAAACAAAAAGACAACCATGTGACATTTTAAAAATGATTAAATTATTGAAGAAACAAATATGGCATAAAAAATTCATGCAAACATAATGGGAGTGTCTGACTTTCTATGTGGAAATGGTGCCATTGAACGTAAGCCCCATCAGGGCCCCAGGGATGTCATGAGCCTTGTGCACAGCTGCCTCCCACAGAGCTTGGCGCAATGCTGTGTCCACAGCAGGCAGGTGTCCCCAAACACAAGTGGAAAAGATGTGGACTGAGCAGACCTCAACTAGAATTCTTTCTTAGAGTGAGCTAACTTAAAATGTTACTTTCTCTACAATTAAAATTCAGTGTAAGAAGAAGTTATGGCAAACTCCCTTTTGGAACACAGGTAGGATATAAATTATGCACATATAAATCAATTAAACCAGAATGAAAACTAGAGTAATGAAAAAAAAAAAAATTAAAGCCTCAGTTATAGAATAAAAGCTATGGTCATGAATATATATATATAATAACATATATATATATATATATTAAAGCTTCAATTAGCTCATTAGTTACAGGGCTTCAAGACGTTTTATAGTAACAAATTTGCATAGAAGATAGAATTTTACTCTAAAGATAAATCAACCATGTTCTTAAAGATGTCTCTCTTTTTTCCCCCTTTAAGTTATAATTGTAAAGTTAGGGAGAAAATCTCCAATTCTGTGCTAATCTATGGGCTGTCTTGACGAAAATATTTTAGGATTTATTATATTACTGCTCACAGTGAGGAATGAAGTAAAAATGAAAATAAAGTGGCCTTTCTTCATGGAAAATCATGCTGTGAATAAAATGACCAGAATACTGCTTTTGGTTAGGTAGACAATCGAATATGAATTTACCTCTATACTCTTCCCTTTCCTTTCTTCCTTTGTGTCTTCTTCAGCGTGTTCAGCCTTCTCTTCTTCCTTAGTCTCCTCCTCTGACTCTTTTGACATATCTACTGACACCACGGCTGGATCTTCTTCCACCCAGTCATTAGCTTTTTTCATGGCCTGGAAACCGACCCCCAATCAGAGAGATACATTCATTATGGAAATATGGAAACGAAGTCATTTCAACCTCAGGACTAGAATCAAACTGCTTCAAGCCTTCAACGGTGGTTCTCTGTAGGTTCCCGGAGTGGTGGAGGCAATTCTTCAACCGTGAGGACCCAAGATGGTGCCAATGGTTTACACTCTGGCACTTAGCGACAGCAACAACTAACCTAAAAGGTTGGCAGTTCAAACCTACGCAGCAGTGGGCTGGAAGAAAGGTGTGTGCTAGTCTGTTTCCATAAAGTTGATCCCCAAACACAACATGGAAAAAATATTTGCACCTCTTCTCATAGACAAAAGTCCAATTTCTTAAAAATAAAAAAGATTACAGCCAAGAAAACTCTATGGCGCAGTTCTATTTTGTAACTCATGTAGTTACCTAGAGTCAGAATTGATTCTATGGCAACTTTGTGTGTGTATGTGTGTGTGTGTTTAATAAAGAAGAGGGGACAAAATAGAGAGTGTGGAAAAGACATCACATGAGCTGAGGACTTTAGAAAAAGCATATAAAGAAGCAGAAATTGTCGCTCTAGCTGAGAGAGACTAAACATAATCAGTACCAAATCCATGATGCCACTTGCCAGTGGATTAGGTACAAACAGACCAACATTGTGGAGGCCTCCCCACCCCCACCCCCCGGAATGACAAAGAACCTCTGCATTCCTCCTAGCCCTGAAGTGGTTCAGACTCTGTAAAACAAAAGCAGTGCTTTTGGGGGGAAAGAAAGCACATACAAAATGAGATCCTGTTAAGAATAAAAATGACAGCCCCATTGGAAGAAAAATCTATAATATATTTTTCATATTTCATGACTAAGTATAAAAGAATAACAATACTTTCCTAATATAGGTTAGGAATTTAGTCTGGGCTGTTGTTAAAGCAAATTTCCTCATGTGCTATGTCTCATGAAGCTCTTAATGTTTCATGAACCTAGTAATGCATCACGTTGCGCAGATGAAGGATGGCTCTGCTGTTCCCATATTCATTGTGGGTCTTCCAGCCTCGAGGCAGAGTAGGGGACAGTTGCTGGAAAAAGAGCCATGGTTATTCTGTAACTAGTTTAATTTCAGAGGAATCGACGAGCCCAGCCGACGCAACCTTTGACCTTAAAAATGATGGCTCAATTGTATAAGCAGAATCCATGTCCCGCGATCTGTTATTCCCTGAATTTTAAAGGTACAGACGTGCCCAGCAATCATCATTATAGCTGAAACTGCCTGCTTATGTGGCAGTTGCTTCTGAGCTATGCTAACCTCAATACTCCTTTTTAAAGCATAGAAGGTCAAGTTCAAGATGCCAGGCAGAGTGCTGAATAGCAAATTAACAGTAAGAAGATTCTGGGTGAGAAAACCCAGCAAAACTCTCCAGCTGTGCCTGCAGAGAGGCTGTTTTAGGGACAAAGTTTTGCCCTAACTATGTAAATAAAGCAGTGACTCTTGAAGCCAGCACACACTGCCTTCTATGCATTGGCAGGCACAATACAGAGATGAATGAGGCAATTTTTCCCTGTGTTTGCACTCACCGACCTGCCAGAATTGGTGACCCTTATTGGAGATAAAGCAATTACTCATCTTTCCACCTCACTGCCTCGTTCTGCCCTCTCCCACCTGGATCGGTACTGGAGTACCTGTGTAAACCACTGCAGGCTAAGAAGAGGACCGGAAAAGAAGAAGGAAAAAAAAAAAAAAAAAAACAGGAAAAACAAGCCAGTCTTAAGTTCTTAAGTAATGAGTGATCAGTGTTCCCATTAAGGAACTCTACAGCAAGACCCTGAACCACTTGCACGACATACTTATTAGAAGAGCCCAGACTGTTATCTGGAATGTTCTTAGACACGATGCAGTATCAGTGTTTCGGGGGTGAGGAGACATGTACTTTACCTCACAGATGTGTCTCTCTTCCCGAATTATGGAATGTCACTTTAAAGGGGGGTGGGGGGTGGGGATTTGAAAGTTCATTGGGTGACTTTGCTCCCTTTTCCCCTTCCCCATCCTGAGCATAGTAATTCCTGGTCTAATATAAAATCCTTATTTTTCCCAGTGACTTGTTCAAGGTCCGAGGTAGTACTAAATTTACTGCTAAAATGCAGATCTCATGATCCAACATGAGATCCACCATCAAATTTTCTTATGCTGCTTAAAGTCTCATGGTGCCATATGGGGTTTTGGGGTTTTCCATTTCAGATGGATCTCTAGACTTATATAACTGTAAACTTTTCTCTCTTTCTTTAAGCAAAAACTTAGAATCAGATGGTGCTGACCTTATTGAGTTTGTCAGGTGTGGCCGCGACATGTATTTCAAAGAGAAGTTCTGTAAGCATGCTAGCGAATTCTTCTCCTTTTTCTTCTAAGCCTAGAAATAGAGAATGACAGAGTAAGAAGAGTGGTTTCATTGGCATCCTGCAGAATGTGGCAGATGGCCTAATTTGACAGCCTGCAGTCAGGGTTGTTTGACTAAATGGATGCTGCAACAGTCCAGCCTCCAGCTACCAACTGGTGGTGAGTCTGAATGCACCTATCTGTCTGCTAGGTGAAGGGTTAGTGGTGCCATGAGGTTAACAACTCTAGATGGGACACCCCTGAGCTGGTCTAAGGGTAACCTAAGGCCAGGGACTTCCTAAGTCTTGTTCATAGTGATGGGTGGTCAACAGCTATTCACTGGAAGAATTTTTGGAAGAACAAATGAATGACCTTTCTCAGACATGTGTGAGCTGTATCTCTGGTTTAGAGTTTTGTTACACTTGGCATGACAATCCTATGATACTCAGGATGCCTTTTTTTGTCCACAGAGACACAGCACTGAGCAACATAATTCATCCCAATACGTGTCTACTATCTGATGCAACAATAGTATATTCTGGAGGGATTCCCCAAGGTTCCCTAGGATACCATTCTGGTCCTACAATACTCTTAGTGATCTGGCTTCCCTCTAGATTGGAAGCTTCATAAGGACAGACAGTATTTGCTTTGCTCACTTCTGACTCTATAGCATCTAACACAGTACCTGGAACATGACAACCCGTTACCAGTGAGTCCTTTCTGACTCATAGCAACCTCCTAGGACAGAAGAGAACTGCCCTATGGGGTTTCCAAGGCCATTTTTTAAATGTTTCTGAAAATACATGTTGAAGAATTCAATTCCACAATGGGTTTATTAGTTTGGAGGGGGAACAAAAGCACCATTAATCTGACATGATTATATGATCTGCTTCCAAAAAGATTTACAGCCTCAAAAACCCTCTGGAGCAGTTCTGCTTTGTTCTCTAGGGTTGCTATCCATTGAAATCCCTGCAATGGCAGTTGTTGTTAAGTGCAATTGAGTTGGTTCCAAATCATAGTGACCCTGTATAGGGTTTCTGAAGAGCGGGCAGTGAATTTGAAATACCGACCTTTTATTTCAAACCAACCTTGTGGTTCAGTGCTTATCCTACAGCACCACATCAGGACTCCTGTGATAACAATTGTTGTTGTTAAGTGCAATTAAGTCGATTCAGACCCATAGCGACCCTGTGTAAGGTTTCCGAGGAGCAGCTGGTGAGGTTGAACTGCCGACCTTGCAGTTCAAATGACTTTGCAGTCTGGTGCATTAACACACAGCGCCACACCTAGACTCCAATGATAGCAGTTGTTGTTGTTATGTGCTGTGGAGTCGGTTCTGACTCATAGCAACCCTATACAGGGTTTCCGAGGCTGTAAATCTTTACAGGAGCAGAAAGCCTCATCTTTCTCCCGTGGAACAGCTGGTAGTTCTGAATTGCTGTGAGATTAGCAGCCCGATTCGTAACCACTATGCTACCAGAGCTGGGTTTTAATCTTTACTGAAACACTGACACATCTTTCTCCTGAGTGGCAGGAGGGTTTGAACTACTGATCTTTCGATGAGCAGCTGAGTGCTAAGCCACTGGGTCACCAGGGTTCCGTCCTGGAACCTAGCAAGTGCTAAATGAAAATGTATTGAATAACAAAATTAATATCATTAGTGGGCAATAAAGAGGAGAAAAAATCCTGAGCAGCTATGTTCTCAGTTTTCTCATTAGTGTTTATAAGCTGTAGTCACTTTTAAACTTTAGGATAATAAATGCTAAACAATGGGATGCCACATGGGTTTATGAGTTTGGAGGAAAACAGAGGTATCATTAATCTGGTCTGATTATATCTCAAAACACTTTTGAGAAAAAAAGACTGTGAATTATGCCTTCCAGGAAGAGTATGCCAGCTGAAGAAATACTTTATCTATCATTTGTTTGGACAAGCTGCTTTCTGTTTTATAGACCAAGTGGTTAACTGGCAGTGGGTCTTGGTTAAAAAAATTTTTTGGCTTAGGTCATTTTCTTGTCATCTATAATTCATGTGTACCTAGGTAGTGAGAATGGTTAATAAGCTTGACTGATAACTGGAAGGTTGGCGGTTCAAGGTCTTCCAGAGGTGCCCTGGAAGAAGGCCTGGGGTCTACTGCTGAAAAATCAACCACTGAAAACCCTACGGAACAGTTGCTGAATAGAAAGAGGCTGAGACGGAGACCTGGAAGATGTGATTCTACCCCAGCTCCTACCTATACTGACATCCGGACCTGGGGACAGTCCAGTCACACAGCTTCTCTCCCCTCCTCTGTGAATTCAGAAAAACAACACCCACCCACCTCCTCTTCAAGGCTGTAAGCACCAAAGAGAACAAAAAATGTGTTTACGAAAGTGATTTGTAAACAAGGAATTTTTTGTAAATATATTATATGAGCTATGTAGACATCAGTGTAGGGCCTTAAAAATTGGGATTAGTCAACACTAAATCAGAATATAAGTGCACTGTATAACAGCAGCTTTTAAATGTGCATTTCATTCTATAAAACAGAGAAACACACCAAGAACTTGCAGCAAAAAATAATAATAATAATAGAGAGAAATGGTAGAAGATAAATACAGATGATAAAAAATGTTGCATGAAAGACTACCTATTACCACAACTCTGGTCTATATATATGGTGAGGAAGATATTCACTACAGCAATATAAATAGAAAATAGCCTTTTAAGATCTGTTCACAATAGCAGTAAACCAAAGGAGGGACCCATGACAGTGCAATTAAATTACACTCCATTGGAAAGACAAACATGCAAATCATTAAGTAACTTTATTAACTGCAGAGAAGTCTGATATCATATTTATCTAAAAATGACAAGTTATTACATTTTCTGAGACTACCACATAAATTATTTAGGTGTTAGGAGGCTTTTAGGAATGTAAGTGCTTACAAGACAAAAAAAATGATGAGATTGCTCTGGTTTCTTGCAGATTTTTTGCTCCTGGATTGTCTACTCACCCCCACTAATGATGATGAGTCTTCTCTGTACCTTTTGGGTAATCTCCCAGACTTTCTACAGTTATAACACTCAACAATAGTATAAACTTAATGGCAACCCCTCTATTCTTTCCTGCCAATTCTTCATTAAGTGTTTGACTGACATTTATTAAATTCTTAAATTAAATGTATTAAATTACTTAAAATTAATAGTTGTTGTTAGGTGTCATGGAGTTGGTTTGTACTCAAAGCAACCCATTTTACAACAGAGTGCAACACTGCCCTGTCCTCACAATGTTGCCACGTTTGAGCCCACTGTTGTAACCACTGTACCAGTCCATTTCGTTGAGGGTCTTCCTCTATCTACTTTGCCAACCATAATGTTCTTCTCCAGGGATGAGTCTCCTTATAACAAATTATATGACACAAAGTCTCACCATCCTCGCTTCCAAGAAGCATTCTGGCTGTACTTCTTCCAAGACAGATGTGTTGGTTCTTTTGGCAATCCATGGTATAGTCAATATTCTTCATTAACATCAAAGTTTGGAGTCCTGGTGTGGTGCTGCGGGATAATGCACAGGACTGCAAGATTGGTTTGAACTAAAAGGTCGGCGGTTCAAGCTCACCAGCCGCTCCTCAGAAACCCTATTGCTATGAGTTGAAACTGACTTGATGGCCCTTAACAACAACACCATAGTTCAAATGCATCCATTTTTCTTCAGTCTTCCTTATTTATTGTCCAGGTTTTGCATGCATATGCAATGAATGAAAATATCGCTTGGTTCAAACACACCTTAATCCTCAAAGTTACATCTTTTGCTTTTTAACATTTTAAAGAGGTCTTCTGAGGCTGATTTGCCCAAAGCAGCAAAGACTTTAATTGATGGACTTCTTCCATGGGTGTTGACTGTGAATCCAAGTAAAATGAAATCCTTGACAACTTCAATCTTTTCTTTGTTTATCATGATGTTGGGTTTTGGTCTAGTTGTGAGGATTTTTTGTTTTCTTTAGGTTGAGGTATAATCCATACTGAAGCCTATGGTCTTCCTTAGTAAGTGCTTTAAATCCTCTTCATTTTCAGCAAGCAAGATTGTGTCATCTGCACAGAATAGATTGTTAATGAATCTTCCTCTAATCATGATGTCATGTTCTTCTTCATATAATTGAGTTTCTCAGATTATTTGCTCAGCACACAGATTGAAAAAGTTGGTGAACGGATACCATCCTGACACACACCTTTCTTGATTTTATTGTTGTTAAGTGCCGTTGAGTTGGTTCTGACTCTTAGCGACTCTGTAGAGATGGTTTCCGAGGAGCGGCTGGTGATCTTGAACTGCCAACCTTGTGGTTCAAACTAACTTTACAGTCCAGTGCATTAGTCCACAGCACTGCACCAGACTCCAAAACACTCAGTATCCCCTTGTTACTTTGGAATGACTGCCTCTTTAGTCTATGTACAAGTTCTGTATGAACACAATTAAGTATTTTGGAATCTAGTTTTTCATAATGTTATCCATAATTTGTTATGCTCTACTCAGTTGGATGCCTTTGCATAGCCAATAAAACACTGGTAAACATCTTTATATTATGCTTTTCTTTAGCTAAGAGTCATCTGACATCAGCAGTGATATAATGCCTTGTTCCGTGTCTCTTCTGAATCCGACTTGAATTCCTGGTAGTTCCCCATTGATGTACTGCTGCCACTGTTTTTGAATTACTGTCAACAAAATTTTACTTACATGTGATATTAATGACATTGTTTAATGTTTTCCACATTCTGTTCAATCACCTTTCTTTGTAATGGGCACAAATCTGAATCTCTTTCATTTAGTTGACCAGGTAGCTGATTTCCAAATTTCTTGGTTTAGATGAGTAATCACTTCCAGTGCTGCCTCTGTTTGTTGAAAGATCTCCGGTGGTATTCCATCAAGTCCTGGTGCCTTTGTTTTTTGCTAATGCCTTCAGTGTAGTTTGGACTTCTTCCTTCAGGTACTATTAGTTCTTGATCATATGCTACCTTCTGAAATGGTTGAACAAAGTCTTTTTGGTACAGTGACTGTGTATTCCTTTCATCTTTTTTTGATGCTTCTGCATTGTCCAAGTTTTTGCCCATTTTATTGTTGTTGTTAAGTGCTCTCAAGTTGGCTCCAACTCATATAGCGACTTTGTATAGAGTTGCCGAGGAGGGGCTGGTGATCTTGAACCACCAACCTGGCAGTTCAAACTGACCTTGCGGTCCAGTGCATTGTCCTTCAGCACCACAGAATCCTTGAGTATTGAAACATAAGGCTTGATATTTTTCTTCAGTTCTTTAAGCTTGAAAAATGTCAACCATGTTCTTCTCTTTCCGTTTTTAAACTCCAAGTTTTTGCATATTGCATTATAATATTTTGTTTTCTCAAGTAGTCCTTTGAAATCTTTTTTTCAGCTCTTTATGTCATCATTTCTTCCTTTCAGTTTAGGTACTCTACTTTTAAGAGCCACCACTCGTCTGTTGGTTTGTCGTACTGTGGTGGCATGTGAGTTGCTATGATTCTGGAAGTTAGGCCACCGGTATTTTAAATACCAGCAGGGTCACCCACGGTGGACAGGTTTCAGATGAGCTTCCAGATGAAGACAGTCTAGGAAGAAGGAGTGACAAACTACTTCCAAATATTTAGTCACTGAAAACCTTATGGATAGCAGAGAAACACTGTCCAGAAACGGCTACAATCATACATTGACAGAGAACTTCAGAGGTTCAAGCCGGATTCAGAAGAGGCCGTGGAA